TTTTTTTAAAAAAAAAAAAAAAAAAAAAACGTAATTTCTTAAATTTCCAACCCTACCCCTAAACTTAAATTTTTTTTAAAAATATCTTTATTACCTGTATTTTAATAAAATCTTTAACATTTTCAAAATACTTTTAACTTTAATAAGTTAAAACTTTTTTTTATTTAAAACCCTAGAAAATTCTTAAGAGTATTAAAGAATTTTTCGAAAGTTTAATATTATTTTTGAAATGAAATATTAAAAGTTTTCGTGTTGTCAATGACTACATGACAGATATCCCAGTCTTGCTTGTCTAGGACGTGTTGTCCATGATTGCATGCTTGTTCCAAACCACTTTTACATGCTTTCATCCTAAATAAGTTTGTACCCTTTCATATTGGGTCAACACGGAAGTGTATGACTGTTCACCAAAATTGTGTTTACACCTACAAGGGCTAAAATGTTCCAAAATGTATTATAGGGGATATGATTAGTTGTCAACTTCTCTTTACCCGACAGTTATATGCAATAAGTCGTTGTTGTTGCCTTTTGCTTATATTCTCGTATTGCACAATTTCAATTTCTCAAATTTTTGCTTTCAAAATCTCTCTATACATATTTTCTAAAAGCAGGAGAGGAAAATAATGTTAATGATATTATTTTTTTTTATTATTAGTTTAAGGGCAAAATGGAATATTTTTAAAGTTTATAATTACATTTTACACAAAATACTTTTATTGGTTTATTATTTTCTTAAAGTAAATTGCACACCTCACACGATTTGATTTTTGACATCGCTCGAATGTCGTGTTCTAGAAGGCCTATGTAATTTATATTTATCTTAAATATTAAATGTTCGAAGATAAAAAGGCTATTGAAGAATATAATTTAATTTAAACTCAAATTTAATTGATTATTGTTATTATTGTTACTAAACGTTAACTCAATTTAATAATTTTATGACAAAAAAACAACAAAATTTTTAAATTTTAAATTACAAAATAAGATTTAAAGTTTATTAAAATTATAATCAAAATTTTAAATAACGTGGAGTGGAGACAACCATATATATTTTTATTATAAAATTGGATATAATTTAATATTATTTAAATTAAAAATACCATTTTTGTTAAACTTTAGTGTGTAATATAAGCAAAAAAAAAAAAAAAAATTGATATATTTGAGGTAAAGACAACTACCAAATATTCTTGTTTGTGCCTGTAAAATTAAAGTCAATATATGAATATTTAAATTTTTAAAGAAATGGGTCCCACAGAATTGACTGACTATTCTTTAACCACATGGATTTCAATGGTAAAGATTTTCTCATCTAAAATGGCATATTTTATTTACAAAATTCATGGAGGATCAATAATTTTCAATATTTTAATTTTCAGCAAATTTTAAAAAATAAAAACAAAATTTCAAAATTTCAATTGTAAAGATTCTCTTATCTAAAATGTTTATAACAAACCCCAAAAGAGTCATTATTGAAATAAAAAATTTCTAAGTGAAAAGAATTAAAAGCATATGAAATTTCAAGTTAATATACTATTCATAGTTCGATAAATAAAAAAAAAAAAGAATAATTCATAAATATATAATTTTTGTGATCTATAAGATCAAACAAACAAATATTCCCACCTTACAAGATCTTCAGACATTTTTGTATTATATGGTGAATGCACGGGTTTTAGACTTAGCAAATGGGCATTACTAATCCAATCAATTAAACAAAGGGTAAATTAGTCAATTAATATTGTCAATACCTAATTCAAGCGTGAATAACACAATTTAAATAAGAATTAACACGAAAATTTCCTACTTCTCACCCAATAAAGAAATCATATTATATTTAAATAAGAATAATCTTGAAAAATATAAAATTATAGATAAATTTAAAAGAACCAATAATTATATACCAATAACGTGTACCTAATTTTCGTGCGACTCAATCACATAACCTTCGTAATGAAGTTGGGAATAATTCTATGTTAAGTGACCTCTTAAGTGAAAGCAAAACATATGTAAGACGACTCAATAGTTTCCAAGCACCAGACATTACATCAGTCCAATGAAAAGCTATTTTATAAGAACTTATTAATATCTAAACTAACTTATCAAGGGTTAGAGGTTCAAATTGTTAGAAAAAAACCTAGTATTTGTATGAACATGATTAAACTTTCGTAAGAAAATTCTAAGCAACATTATGATGTAACTTATCATGCCAAAGAAATCAATTAAAAACAACAAATAATACATTTTTTTTCAAATTATATTTATGAACTTTGAATGCAATAGTAAGAGATATTTGTAAAGAAAAATTGGAAAAAGAAGAAAAAAATGACGACTTTGAAAGGGTCTATACAATAATGTGATGGAAGTTGTCAAGCAATTCACATAGCAATTTCTGTCCCATTTGTTTTACCTATTGACTTTTCAGTCTCCCTCTTTGAAATTTGGGACCATAAACTTTAATCAAATCTCCCATCACTCAGCCCTACCAACCCAACATGAACTATGCCAAACTTTTGATTTTAAGATCTCTCTAATAATATTAAACACTTCTTTTAAATATTATGCAAATCTAGTATGAAAAGATTTCAATCCCTCTCAATAATATGGTTGAGTGAGTAATTTACCTAAAAAGTTCAGTCAAATCCATATACAATAATAACCAATGCAAGGCAATGATACCTCATTTAAACACTCCATAGTGATACTGTAGAGTATTTCTCTGCTTCGTAACATGTATATCCTCGACCGGCTACAACACAAGACGTCAGCCTAAACACAGTTCAAACATTATGCAAACATCAATAGTGATACCATTGAATTCTCTCTCTCCTGTCCCTGATTTCACTCCGGCCGGAATCTATGGATTCTTTCTCCTTCCCCTATTTATTTATTCAAACACGAGGTAAACTGAAATTCTATTGCCTGGCTAGCCGGACTATTACTGATTGAACTAGGTAAAGGATATTCATTCAATCCTTCTTTCACTCGGTCTCACTGCTTACAACATGTTAGCCTAAACACAATTCAAATGACACAATTAACCCTATCGAACAGGAACTAATATTTCGACCAGAAATGAATTTGAACAAAAGAAATTAAGTTCAAGCAAAGCATCACCATCTAGTTAAAACTTCTAGCTGATTACGACACTTCTCAACTCAACCAATAATTTAGAGTATCAAGGAGTTATCTCACATATTGTGCTTATTAGCAAAGAGTAATAAAGAACAAAAACTGGTCCCCAGAGCATTTTAACCGACAAGTCGGTCAACCAATATCACAAGAATAAAGACAATGAGTGGCAAAGTAATGTGGCAAAATACAAGCCAAGCATCCAAAACCAAACATTTAATGAATCAAAGCACAGACCTAAATCAAGAAGAATCCACTTTTGAGTCTAAAGCTTAAGACAAAACTGTGGACTTTATTCAATGAACAGCCCCCAGCCACACATCTGTCCTTCCATTAAAAACAATTATAACAACAATTTAAAGTTCCATTAGGATTGGTTATACTCATTCTTTGGAAGAAAGGCCTTCATAATATGGTAGCTATGGTTGTCAACTACAACCACCCGACCCGACCCATGTAGGCCAGCAAAAGCACACACGACTTCAACCTTTTTTAAAAAAAAACTAAAAATGACTAATACGTATCCAATAATTATCCGAGTTGTATGTTTTTTTTTTGTATAATATGTTAGGAATCACTAACCTCCACAATAGTATGATATTGTCCACTTCGAGTATAAACTCTCATGGCTTTGCTTTGGACTTTCTCAGAATGCCTCATACCAATGGAAATAGTATTCCTTATTTATAAATCCATAATCTTCTTTTTAATTAGCCCACGTGAGACTGGACTACTCTCTCAATAATCCTCAACATAATACGCATACGTTGAATATTCAACTAAAGTTTAGATAGTAAATAACTTTCTAATATTTAGAAGACAAGTCAAATAAATACTAAATACATATCCAACTAGTTTTTTGCTTTACCTGCTGAAATTATGGTAGTGAAGACGAGCATCAGCACCCACGGCTTGATCCAATGATAGAGCCCAATACATCATAAAAGTCCCCAAATGTGATGACTCATAATTGTGGGCTTTCTATATAGAAACTTAATCAATTGCATAAAGCTTGGAAAGACGTGAGAACGGATCACTCGTAGTCAGAGAAGAAGTGAACAAACAAATAAGTTACATTAAAGTAGATAGTCTAACCCATGTACAAGTTATAAACAATATTGAAAATTCACATTGAGATCATGGTAAAGATGAATAAACAACTTTTAAACCCCTATGTATCGCATGCTACGTGGAAAATTCACGACTAGAAGATAAAGTTTTATGATCCAATGTCTAATGGGATTAGGTGATGTACCTCTCGAGTTGCAGGAAGTAGTTTAGATTGGATCAGAAAATGGAGAAACCAAACCATTACACTGTTTGTCCAACAAACCTCGAGGTCAGAGGAACAAGCAAACGAGCAATATTTGGCAGCATCGGGTAAGCAAGTATTCCAAGTATGAACCAGTTGAAGCTCAAAAGAGCAACAGCATCCAAGGCAGGTTTATTCTTTATGGTCGTGAAAAACTCAACAACGCTCTTTAATGAGATGCTAACCACAAACAAGAGTGCCATAACCAGGCACAAGTGAGACTCTTCAGCTTTCCATATAATCATTCCAACCAAAAGTGACAACAAGGTACTGAATAGACTTCGGGAAATCGCAATCTCTCTCTGTTCATCAAGAGTTTCGGCGACATCTTTATCATCTTCATCTTTTGATACTTCAGAACTAAGAGAGCGGAGACCAGATTTTAACCCAGATTCTAAAAGTTCGATCAATCTTGCTTTAGGTATATTATCGTCTTTCCAAATATCACTTTGAAAGAGGTATTGAACAATGCTGCTGCCACTATAGATGGATGAGCATGATGAGATACCAAAGGTAATGTCGCTGTCAAGTCTGCCAGCATTTTGTGCTTCACCTTTGTTATCAAGACCTTTTAAGCTCCAATATGTCTTACCCTTGATTTCTTGCAGTCGAAGATTTTCGTTTCTCAATTTATGCAGCTGTTGGATTAAATTACGCCTATTTATTTGAAGCAAGAGATCTAAACTAATATTAACATACCACACGACTTCAAAAAGCAAGAAGATACACTACAAGAAAAACTCAACAGTTAAGGTTATGACGTAACCCATTTATCGCTGTCTTTCCTCTTCTCTACAATAGATAGCTAAAATTGATTTCCAGCCTTTACATAACCTTGGTGGAAAAACCTATTCAATGATTAAGAGTATTCACAAGAAGAGTGGCGCATCCTGTTATGGTAAGGGATTTTAACTATAAGCCCAGAAATACTTCAAAAACTACCTGTAGTCTAATTTAGCGGCAAACTCAGAGGACTAGTAAATAATTAGACATCCTATTCCACTGAGTCAATGCACATCACTAATCTAAATTCACACCACAGAGAAATCATATGGCTGCAGCCTGCAGGAGCCTGCCTTTGCAGTAAATCTTGGAACAACTGAAATTTAAAAGAAACTCTGTAGTAATGGTGGCAATTTCTTAATAGTTTCCATGTACCTACCTTTATAATACAGAAAAGCTGACTAAATCTTCAGGTACTAGGTGACAATTCAGAAAAATACATTTACCTTTTTATTTAATGAGATTGCAAAAATGTTCCTTAAATTAAGTCTACGAATAACACAAATATTCCTTAAATTAAGTTCATCCCTTCAACACTACTCTCAAACTAAGGAATAGATATCATCTATTCCCACTAACTCATGAAACATTGAGCTGTGAAGTCCTTTTGTTCATCTATCCCCACTAACTCGTGACACATTGAGCTGTGAAGTCCTTTTGTTAGTACATCTGTCAGTTGAAGCTGTGAGGGCACATAATTAGTGCATACTATCCCTTTCTCCAATTTTTTCTTGATAAAATATCAGTCATTCTCCCATACCATCATGTCATTCTCTTTTGGATAAAACTTGAAAAACTGTATGGGGTATAACAACTGAATTCAGACTCATAATAAAACTCTTGTGTGATGGGGGATAGTTTTTCAAGAGAGATATAATTTGATAGGGGTATAAGGGTCGTTTTGTGCATTCTTTAGTAGTTTTTCAGAAAGCTACTAGTCTATAATCTATTGGTACCTGTGTTGCATCTTCATTTTGAGTCGAATTGGATGTTTGGACTTGTATCAATTCTCAAATGGCTTTCCTTCTAACATATACCTAAGAGAACAATGAATCTGGCACTGGAGGTGGAATAAATGGTTCAGTTGATGACTCTACGATAGCAGGAGAGGACCCATGATTGGAATCAATATTACATTTGGACTCATGATTGGAATCAATTGTACGAGTAGACTTGGTAGTGGGAGTGGACTCAATAGTTGGTTCTACGTGCGGTTATTTAGGGAGTCAAATTGTCAAGAGTGAAATAAAAAACTAGAATGATCCCTTGAATAGGAAAATTGTGATGTAAAAATAGGAACGGACGATTCCCTTGGCTTCATGCAATGTGCGTGTAATTACTTCACATATCACAACTGAGCAAGCTGCATTGTATATCTATAAAGTAAAATAAATATATAAATGAAATACATGGTTTGACGCACGCAAAGCTTTCCTGATGATTTTATAAGCCAGCTTCTCAACCTACTGAAGAAAAAAGAAAAAAACGAAATTTTCCTTTCTTGGAATCAAGTTACATCTGTGTTTCATTGAACTCGAATATATTTCCATGGAGCATAGGACAACAACACAGCAAACACTGTTGCATGACCTTCTAATGGATTAAAGGTACATTCACATAATAACTTTGTGTCATTCTGTGTGTATGTGTGCGGGTGAGAAAGTTTCTATTTTCCGGTATATTGTAAGGAGTGTCCTTGAGTTCTTCACAGATATAAAAGTCTTCAGCTCAAAAAAAGTAAACTACGGTTTTGATGTCAAAGTTCAACTGCCTCCTATATACCATAGATTCCTCTGTCCACTTCTTATCAGAACTATGATAAGTCACTCTCAGTTTCAATCTTCCACAATGTAATTATGACATTTAGGGCAGGATTTAGTACAGCAGCTAGAGCTTAAAGAAGTTATGACAGGTCATTACCTCACTTTCTAAGTGTGAAATTTTGTCGGTCGCCTTTTCATGTATCATTTCAAGTTCATCCAACATCAATTCCACCACCTTCTGCTCTTTCATAGCAGCCTGAAAATGTTTTTGAAACTCCTTTCTTTCCCATAAAACATTTTCAAACTCAATTTCCAGAAATTGTAAATTTTGTTGCAACTGCACAAAATTAGTCACTATCAAGAAAAAAAAAATCTAATTCATAAATGACCAGAATTAGTCTAAGCAGCCTACTTGGTACTCCAATACTCCAATTACTTCATGAATAGTAGAGATCCCAAAAGCCACCAACAGACAATACTGGAACAAAATCTAATTCATAGATGGGAACTTTCTGCTATAATCATACCAAAAATATATGAGACTGACAAAGAAAAGAAAAATGGATAAACAAATGCTTGAACAATAATTCTCCAGTTGACTGGTAATAATTGAAAAAAAGTTCAAATTATTGTTTCAATAACTCACGTTGCAAAGAACTCAATGGTTAGTTTCTTCATCCCTTTCCAAGTTCTGAAAACCTTGTTGACATAATTTTTCTGCTATGAATATTAAGGATTCCCAACTAAATTCCGATTGCTGGTTACAATTGTAATTATTTGATGTTTTCAAATTTTACCACTTCAATACCATATCCATTTATAGCTAGAAAACTTGTAAAAATGTGTCATGTAAGTGTACTTTGAGTACCCAGCTAGCTGCTACACGCAAGCAAACGACAATCACCATAATGTTGCATATAAAAATTTAAGTCTAAAACGAATATAGTAGGTTGAGGTATATTTTCTTCAAACATATTTTTCTCAAGAGACATCTCTAGAACCAAAACAGAGAAAAGAAAGCCAAAGAAACACAGAAATCATAAGTCAACAAGAACATAAGGCAATCAATAAACAATAGGTCAAAAAGGCTAACCTGCCTTTCCCTCTGTAAAGCAACTACAATTCGTCCAGGAAGAGAGACGAACGCAATTATCCACATCGAAGTGGTCCAAAATATATTCAAGTGAAAACTGACCAAGGTCTTCAACAGCTCCAACCAAGTTTGAACAACAACAACAAAGGTTTTAAAGATAAATGAGCACGTACGCATGAAAAACGAAAAAGACCTCGTGACCAAGAATATTGTGATATTCAGAAACTCAGAAAGCAAGGCCATTGAACCCACCAGTACCAGTACCACTACCTTTCTTGCTAAACTACATGGCAACAACTTTTCCTGAAGGCTGTAACTCAGCATAACAAACAAAACCCTTCAACCAAACTGGACCCATGAAAGACATAATAAATCTTGATATCAATTAAGCAGGTAAAAAATTAATACCAAATTTCCTCAAAAGCTACACATTAGTTTGTGTGGTAGACGCAATTATTTCCCAATCTGGCACAGAATCTCATGACGAGAAGAACATGAGAACAAAAAGATAATCGACCATATTGTTAATCGAATCTCAAAACTTTATAATAACATAAATGTTGTTCCCAACTTCAGAGTGCAACACAGGGGGGAGAGACAAAACTGCTCTATTTCAAAACAAAATTTATAGGGTTCTGAAAATAATTTTTTACACCAGATTCTTTCTACAAAGCAACTCAAAATCTTCTTAAGAATAAGCAATTAATAACCATAATATTGATTATTTGAAACGTACTAAATTGAATTCACTGAAAAAAGAGCGACAGATACGAGTAAAGATTATTGAAAAAAAAAAAAAAACGTCCAACACATTTTCTCGTGATTATATCAGAGAAAATGAATTATCGAGTGTCCCGTCCATCAATTTTCCCTTCCTTCTTCGTCTTCCACCTCTCAGATTTTCATACATCACACACAAACCGAACGAACCTAAATATAGAGTACGATTGTTTCGTGTTTAGACTAAAGACATCATTCCTATATCATAATGGATAAAAAAACGATGCAGATAAAAAAAGTAAAGGAAATTAACGAAAGCGAGTTAATAATGGCGATACGATGAAGCAAAAAGCTTACAGTTAAAGGAGAATGCAGGCGAATTAAAGCACGAGAGAATCGCAAACCAAAAGGTAATGCTGGAGAAAGAGAAACTCTGCATGCGAGAGAATTTTGATATTGAACGAGAAAATGGCAACCGGTAATGGAAGCAACTCCATGATTGACACGGACTAGAAATGGCGATGAATCTTGGAGGGAAATTTAACCATTCGCGGTTAGGTTAATTCCGATTGTTAGTGCCATTTATTCAATTTTAAAAAAAAATAATAATAAAATAAAATGTCATTCCATCTCTTTAACTTATTTTTAAATATTTAATTAAAATTTATAATTCAACATTTATAAATATTTTGAAAAAATCTCTTTTAAATAAGAAAAAATTATAATAATTTAAAATTAATAATAAATCGGTTCACAGAAGCAACAAGACCTTGAAAGCATCTTTTTCCCGTGTCAGTAGCAATACCATTCGTCAATCGGAGAAGGTTTTTTGTGACAACACCCGGAGATATCATAAGTGAGAATGCTGACATGAGTAACGAGAAATCCCGTAAAAAACACGATCGCCTGTCAGTGGAAGGCTTGATGCGTTCAGTCAATATACGCAAAGTAAATCAATCCCTAAGGACCCCTGAAAGGGCTGCCATCTGGTGGGTACACGAAAGTGATTCAACCTAATATAGTTAGGAACTCATAAACCAACGGTATAAAGTTTTAATTTATTTAAATTCAACTCTACCCACGTAAATTCATAACCTAACCCAAAATGTACGGGTTTAGTTGATTTAATTGGATTTTTTTGGATCGTTAAATTTTGTAGGATTCCTATTTGTGGTCTCATGTGAAATTGTATATTCTCTAAATTAATATGGGTGAGTCGACTGCTCTCTTTTGAATGCAACATAAACAAGAGCATAGACGATATTCCCGTCCGTATTTAGGTTGGTTGGTTGGATTGGTGACTCGTGGAACCCACAGGTTCATAACCCAGTCCAATCTTTGAGTTGGGTTGGATTTGTTTGTCGGGTTGTTATTTATTCATTTTAAAAAGTATATTTATCTTCATGTAACTAAAATTTTACCAAACTCAGATATCAAATATTCACAATTACTTACATTAATGGCAAACCTCAAAATTTTTTAATATTCATCGTAACCTTATTTAAGGTTGTTGGAGGAAAGTTCTACCGTTAATTTAGGGAATGATCATAGGTTTATAATCAAATAATACTATTTCTATTGGTACGAGGCATCCTGGGAAGTCCAAAACAAAGTCACGAGAGCTCATGCTCAAAGTGGATAATATCATACCATTGTAGAGAGTCGTCTTCATCTAACATGGTATCAAAGTCATGCCCTAAACTTAGCCATGTTGAACGGACTCCAAAAGAAAAAGGAGTCGAGCGTAGAGCCTCGATTAAGGGGAAGTGTTGGATGAAAGTCCCACATCGGCTAATTTATGGATGAAAGTCATGAGAGCTCATATTCAAAATAGACAATATCATACCATTGTGGAGAGCTATGTTCATATAACAAAGACATAATAGGGAACTAACTCAACTCAACTTTTATGATTTGAATTAAATTTATGTTCCTTTCTATTACGTTAACTCAAAAAAAAAACATAAATATTTATCAAATTTAAAATTATTTATCGATGTCAGAAAAAAAAATTGAACTAAAGTCAACTAAATCGAATAAAATATCGAAAATATTTTAATTTTTTTTTCTAGTTCTTAATCGAAAATACATAGAAATAGAAGGGCAGGAGGAAAAAAAAAAACTTAGATATTATTTTGGAAAATAAAATAATAATAATAAAAAAGATACTAACAATAATCTGAGTTTATACGTATTTATACCAGCCCGATCTTGACGAACAGTGGAGATTTGTTTGTTTTAAAATTTCCAAATTAAAATTTAAAGTATTCTGCAAATTACTTATCCCTCGAAGAACAGGGCGCGGGAATGTAGCTTCCATTGCGCGGGTAAAACCTGAGATGGCAGTTCAAACGGCACCAAAACTTCAGCGGTCCAAGAACTCCAACTCTCCATCGAGTTCTCGAGCTTCCTTTCAGATCGAACTGCATCAGATTCCTCTTCAGCGACCAGCCTAGATGCTGCATCTGCGTTGGATTTAGCGGAATCGCCGACGATTCCACTAAGAAGTGCAAATCCAGGTAACTCATTTTGTTCACTTTGAACGGTCGGTGAGCCACCAGTGATGCGATTTCTATGCCGTCGAAGATAAGGACGAAATCGGTATGTGAGAAGCTTGCGTGTGCTCTAGCATTTTGATTCTCGGCTCGGACGACGATCTTCATCTGGACTTCAAGCAAGCCGGTTCTGCTGCTTCGGATTCTGTCGAGATGTCCGTCGGTTACGCTGATTGTAGGCACCCTAGGGCGGATCGTTACATAGCCGATGAAGATGACGATGCCTGCGATTATCACTGCTAGGGCTATGGCAGCACAGATTATGCCGGCAATCCAAATCAGGGGATGAGTATGCCGCTTTAGGCTGGATAGGAAATTTGGTGGCATTTGAGATCGATGCAGTTTCTCATAAACGGATTGCAATTGAGTGACACGAAAGAGAACAAAAAAAAGGTGAAGGTATATTTGAATCAGCAGCTGATCTCACTCTTAACCACTTTGTTGTGTTGCAGAGCTCAATTTTAGGCATGGCCGAGGAGAAACACTGAAGAAGGAATGCAAACTTATCAAAAAGTCGTGGCAATGGGCGGCGAAGGTTTAGGTATCTTCCTTTCCTTCTTTTAACGCATCTAAAAACTAAAGAACTACTGTTAGAGCATATTTTGTTATCTGAGAATTTATCCAAAGCTTTGTCGAGTGATGGTTTCCTTCAATTATATCTGCAGAATTATTTATTGGATCCTTATTAATGCTAAAATCAACTATACTGATTAGATCGGAAACATATGGTATCAAATTTGATTTTATTTTTGTACTTCTGTTTTTAAGAACCGTAGTCATAACCTTTTCTTTGCTATGATACATTTTAGGAAAAATTATTGAGCGTAGTTTTTCAATATACATTATCTTTGAATTATCTTTGAATTTGTGTTTAGTTCTTATTTGGTCCTTAAATTTCAAAACTTGTTGAGGATTATGGGGAGTGAGTCCCACAATGGGTTAATTGAGTGGAAATCATGAGTTTATAAGTGTGGAATACTATCTCCATTGAGATGAGACTTTACGAGGAACCCCAAAACAAAGTCATGAGAGTTTATGCTCAAAATGGACAATATCATAACATTATGGAGATCCGTGATTCCTGCCATGCCCTAAACTTAGCCATGTCAATAAAATCCTCAAATCTCGAGAGAGCGTTAGAGCCATGTGATTCCTGCCATGCCCTAAACTTAGCCATGTACTTAGCCATGTCAATAAAATCCGAATCCGAGTTTAGTTTTCATTTAGTATTTTATGTTTCAAGTTTTACACCTTTACTCAAGAATTCTCATTGATGCTCACTTTGGGTCATTTACATTCATTTTCTATGAACTAATTCAAACAAACATCAAAACTTAGGATTAAAAGTAAGTATTCATAGTGAAAAACATACTGATAAAAATGTAAAATTCTAAAACCAAGAACTAAATGGAAACCATAACTCAAAACTGAAGGTAAGAATCTAAAATTTTGAAACTCAGTAATTAATGACTATATACAGAGTTTAGGAACCAAAAAGTTATTTGTGCCATGACTGTTTTCCAAATTTCCCAATGAAGGCGTAGAAATACCTATTTTAAACGTACATATGTTTGATTTCTTCCGTCAGTGGAATCATTTGAAGCTATTTTTTTTTTTTTTTTTGGTCCTAAGATTTTCAGAGATCCATTTTCACATTAATCTAGATGACTTCTTTGTACATTTAATTATCATTGGTATTTTCAAAAGTAACTTGTTTCATTACTTGAATGATACATAATAACTGGACCTATTATTTCAACTGAATTTCTCTCTTTTTTACATACTTTGCGTTAGAAAGTAAAATACCAAACTTATACTGTAATTTTCTAGCTGTTCCTCTTATTGCCCGTTACCGCCAATTGGAATGCAGACACAGAGGATTTATCTTAAATATAAAGCCTCGCAGCTTTGAGGAGAATGGAAGGACGTCTGAATGCTACAACAGGTAATAGCTTTTAAATATCAGATGATTCTTTCCATTTAAATGATTTAAATTATCTTTTTTTTTTGGACTTTTCCTTTCGAGTTATCCCTCAAGATTTAGAACGCGTCTATCAGGTGAGATCACACCATTATAAGACGTCTACTAGAAAGAGGTTTTCATACCCTTATAAGTAATGTTTCGTTCCCCTTTTCAACCAATGTGAAATCTCACAATCCACTCTTTTGGGGTCTAATGTCCTCGTTGGCACACCGTTCGATGTCTGACTCTGATATCATTTGTAACAGCTCAAGCCCACCGCTAAAAAATATTGTCATATGTGGACTTTTCTTTCCAGGCTTCCACTCAAGATTTTAAAATAAGTTTACTAGGGAGAAATTTCTATACCCTTAGAAAGAATGCCTTGTTCTCTTCTCCAATCAATATAGTATGTGACTAAACTTTAACAATAATTTCATCATACTTTACTGCTACCTTCTCTAAGAATGAGGACAAGTCAAAAAGATGGGGCAAGAGCATGTAATAGTTAAAAAAAAGAAAAGAAATGATTCATGCATAAGGGGTAATCTTGCTTGCCTCAAAATGATCACTAATGATATTGAGAATGGATGTACAGTGTATTGGTGGTTATCATTAGAATCGAAGAAGAGAGGGTAGCAATACAAAATTATCGATCAAGCATATCATCGATTAGGAATCATGACTCTACAAAATGATATGATATTATCCAATTTGAGCACAATTATGATTTTATTTGAATTTTCTCAAAAGATCTCATACCAATGGAGATGTATTCCTTGTTTATAAATCTATGGTCATGCCATTGCGTGAGTCCCTTCTAACAATTCTCAACAATCCTCTCTTCGAATAAAGTAAGGCTTGTGGAGCCCCCGGTGGAACCCTCTAATATCCTCTCCTCAATTGAGGCTCGACTCCTTCTTTAGAGTTCCTGAACAAAGTATATCATTTGAACAAAGTATAACTGTTTAGAACTGTATTAGTTAGTTATATATATAAGGAGTTTTTAAAGTGGAGATTATCATATATGGTTTCAGCCATGGTCGAGATGCAAAGGGAATCGTGGGGATAGGGCCAGCGGATGCGAAGAATGGGAGGGGGGGATTTTTGGGAGGGTTTCTAAAACGAATCGTGGGGATGTGTCGGCTGGCAGAGCGTTTCCTGGAAGCTTAGGAGAGTGGGTTACACGTGTTAGAGAAGGAACCGCGAAAAAGATGGTATTTTGTCGTCTGCGACGAAGCCCAATTCGCGCGACCTGCCACGTCGAAGCAAATATTGAAGCAGTTTTGACGTGGCAGGTCGTTTTGCCACCTTTTATTTCATTCAAAAAACGTCCCATTCCACGCCCTTTCTTGAAGCTTTTTTTTTTCCCTCTTTTATTCTTTTTTTTTTTAATTTATTTTCCCCCTCTTTTATCTTTTTCGGATTTTTATTTTATAAGATCAGTCCAAAATTATTTTAAATCTATTTCTGCTATTATCATCCAAACCTAAATCTAGCATCAATATTCAAAATCTCTAAGTAAATTAGTGGTTTGAATCTTTAGAAGAACATATAATTCTTAATATTTAATTACAATATAAAAAAATACATTCTAATGGTAAAATTCCTTAATTTTTATTTCGTTTTTAATTGTGTGGAAAGTAGTGAAGAAATAAAAATTCATTTAGAAAAAAGAGAGAAATTAAATATTCCCGTCCCCCCGTGGTAGGAAAGAAAGCAAAAAAAAATCGCTTCCCTCGGCGCGGGCGATATCAACGTGCCGTGATGAAACAGAGAACGGACTAATCATGGAGTATCCAACTTTAAATTCGGCCCATAACTTCGGCCCCTATCCCTTGAGTCATATGATCCGTACCTTTCTCAACTCCCATTTCCTCGGACCTCAGTGGCTGGCGCCGCTGTATTGCAATCTTCTTTGATGTTTGAACCCTTACTCTCCCCTTCCATCTCCAGCTGCCACCATGCAACCATCTCCACCGTTGATTAGTGGCCCTTCCAGAACTCTAACGACCACTGTCCGACCTTCCACGATGATCATCCATGCTTACCACCAGTACCTGCAATCTTATCCAAAATTCAATAGCTTTATTGGGTATAAAACCCACCTTATCGGTTGTGGGCGTAGATTTCCTGCCTTTGCAACCGCTAGCTCAGGACCTCATGTTCCTGCTGCTTCTGCTCCTTCAATCCAATCCGATGTTGGCATGGCGTCCCGCACGTCGGTACTGGAAAAGTCGGGTATAATAGAGGAGGACCTGGAAAAGGTTGTGCATGTCTAATTTCTATATGGGTGTTAATTCAGTAGTAGCTTTGTAGTTTGACAATATATTTTTTCATGGGATTTCAGGCCATTTATCGATGCCGATTTATGGCATTTTTGGGCGTCTTTGGATCTTTGGTTGGGTCTATACTCTGTTTCATCAAGGTACGATGATTAAGTTCCAGCTCTCTAACACATAATTCTGTTGTCACAGGCCAGGATTTGCGTCTTGTTTGTGTGTGTTATGAGATCTTCATTCTATTTAGTTCAATTGCTTACTACACTTTCTTCGTTTTAAGAATACGATTCAGTTGACAAATTTGGTCTGCTTTACAAAGATATGATGGTAGCAGAGCTCCTTGAAATTCCATTGAGTGCAGTGAACTAGGGATATAGCTAACCTAGACGAATTGACATTTGCGAATATCTCTTTCCAACTGAATTGTTGACGATTGTATGCGTCCTTCCTTTCTGACTTCCATTCCCGTTGAAATAGGATCTCCACAACGAAAAACACTTGTCATTAGTTGGTTATTAGGAGCATCCCGAAAACGTCCCGGTTGAAATATGACTTTCAAATTAAGTCCTGAATTAGTGGGATGAGGGAGAAAGAGACGGATAGGGTGGGAATGGACGTAGTTGAGTTGGAGTTTTTTCCTTTTAAGTCTGACAGTAGGGAGATTGCCATAGTTTAAAGTTTTTCTGTTGTGGTAATAGGTACAAATTCTGGATATGTGGTTGGGTCATGGGTGGTCATCGTTTCAATAAGTTTGACTTGTTTTGCCATACCGACGTGTTTTTAGGCTTTAATTTGTTCTGTTAGCTGTGCCCTTCTTATTTCATCTCCTTATAATTCCTAGTACAGAGTAAGGATTGTATGAGGCCGTTATTTTAAGGTACTTTGTCTTACTACAGAAGAACTTCGTTAATAATGAATTCCGGATATGTGGTAAGTGTTGAGGATTGTTGGGAGAGTTGTCCCACATCGGCTAATTAAGGGGTTGATCATGGATTTATAAGTAAAGAGTACATCTCCATTAGTATGAGGCTTTTTGGGGAAACCAAAAGCAAAGCCATGAGAGCTTATGCTCAAAGTGGACAATATCATACCATTGTGAAGGTCCGTGATTCCTAACAGTTAGGTGGTCAACATTTCAACTTCTTTTGCTGGACCAACATGCTTTTAAGACTTTGGTTTGTTATGTCAGTGCTTTAAACTGTGCCCTTGTTATTCCTCTTAAATTTCGTTATAACGAGTAAGGATTGTGCATGGTTAGGTGGACATCATTTCAATAAGTCTGACTTGTTTAGCTTTGCTCTTTGTATGAGGCTGTTATTTTAAGATACACTTGGTTTCACTTACAAAATTATAAATGAAAGTGTTGATTAATAATATTGTTGAGGATAATCTTTTTCTTTTTAATGATTTAGAACTGTTGGGAATTTATGAATTGAGATTTTTTTTCAAGATTCTGTATTGTTGGGCCCTGGTTGGAGAATAAATGGTATACTCGCCTTTTTAAGTTCTAGAAGATTTGTAAAAGCCCAAGCCCATTACTAGCAGATATCATCCTCTTTGGACTTTCCCTCAAAGTTTTTAAAATGCGTTTGCTAGGGAGAGGTTTTCACACCCTTATAAAGAATACTTCGTTCTCCTTCCCAACTCATGTGGGATCTCACAAGATTGGTGTACTTGAATAACCATGAGCACCACAAGCTGATTGATGTTCCTTTAGTTTTGATTTTCATTAAATAAATGATATCTGCTCTGCCTTTCTTGATATTCTAATTTTATACTACATGACTGAAATGCAGGGGTGTGTTCATGTAGCAGCATCGTTCTCAGAATATTTTGTAAATCGTGGAAAAGTAATAATGTTGCTGGTTGAGGCTATCGGTACTTACCGTGAATTACTCTCAAATTAATATCTTTGTCTCGATTTTCTATCGGTCGAATCTTTTTTTCAATGTTCATCATTTTGTTCTAAAAAAATATCTTTGAATCTTTGTAGAAAAGAAATTTGATCTGATGCCAAGTTTATGTTGAGAACTGTTTATCTTTGGATCTTTGAATCTTTTTTGCTTCAAATGGTATGCAGATGTGTATCTCTTAGGAACTGTGATGCTCGTCTTTGGGACGGGTCTCTATGAGCTGTTTATCAGCCATCTTGGAACTGAACGGACTTTGTCAAAGAGAAACATTGAGCATAGGTCCAATTTATTTGGCTTGTTCACTTTAAAGGTGAGTCGACCTCAACACTTCGGTCTTCGGTATTTGAACTTTAGTATGTAATGAATTAATTCTTTTCGTTTATTTTTCATGACTTAGTCCGTGGTGAAAATTCGTATAATGAGTTCTTTTAATATAGAAACTAAATTGTAATGATTAAATTGTTACAAGATTTATATGGTAGAGAATAAATGGTTACGTACTCAAATTTAGGGCTAAATTGTTATTTTAACGAAACATATGGATGAAAGGTGGTTTTTTAACATTGTATATTCACCGAAACGCGTATAGATTAGCTCATATTCGATTATGTTAAATGGTATTTTTGTAGGAACGACCAAAATGGATGAACATAACGACGGTTAACGAGCTGAAAACGAAGCTGGGGCATGTCATAGTGATGCTGCTTCTAATCGGGTTTTTCGACAAGAGTAAAAAGGCGGCTATACAATCTCCAGGTGATTTGCTTTGCTTAGCTGCTTCAGTATTCCTGTCCTCTGGTAGCCTGTTTTTGCTGTCTAAACTAACCGAATAAAACTAATAAGTTATGTACAAATATAAAATATATAATCCCTTTTTTTTTTGCCCTTTTGGCCCCTCCGAAAACGGTTGAAACCATGAAATATTAGTGTTATTGTAAATGGGTGTGTTAGTTTGCTGTAAGAAGATGTTGCTGCAATGTAGAGTGACTTCAAACGAGTAAATAAATAAGGGGATGAAGCTTTAGAAAGCCATTTCTGGGTCGTGTCGAGATTAAGAACTGTAGAATTGGCCGAACGATGGGAATCTTGAGAGTGATGTGTTACTATATTCAATATTGGTCGAATTGAGTATAATTCAATTGATTAATATAAGATCGAGAAGAAAAGAAAAGAAAAAGAACAGTTAAAAAGCCCCCAAACCTCTGTCTAAACAAAGGCTGTACACAATCACAAAAACTAGTCTAAAAAAAAGGAACAATAATCTTGTCAAACCACTAGAATATCCTTACCTTTACCCCAAACCTAGTATTATGTGTAGATGTTCTATAATTATGGTTCCCATCTTATTTTGACTTTCCTAAATTATCTTATTAATATCACTGGGGTCGTTAAATAATATATATGATCTCAAACATTTTATTTTTCAGAAATTGTGTCTAATAGATTATTCACGATCGTATACAATTAATATAATTATATGTATTTGGTATATTTGTTCATCACTCTGTTATAAATGTCTTCATATACACTTCGTACATTTGTTTGGCACAGTATGTATATATTTTCAAAAAAACAAAGTTGATAGATGAAAGACGAAATCGGAGTAAAATGGCTAAATAGAAGGGAATTAGGCCAACAAGTAAAAGAATGAAGAGAAGCTCGGGTCGAAGTCATATTCTTGGTCTGACTCGTATGAGGTCTATTCCTACCATTTCCTAGTTCGTGTGATCTAGATCCTCTTTTATCTTAACCTTACAACGATCGGTAGAACCCTAATGGAAAGGTATATGAACACTTTTCTTCTACTAGAAGCAGTTAAACTAAAGTCAAACCCTTTTCTAATATATACTAAATTCTTCCTAGCTAGGAGCTTGTGTAACATGTACCAACAAATGTTTGGTGCGTTATAGGTCTAAATTTTCAACTGAATCGTAAACAACATATCATATTCCACGTTAAAAAAGATAAATATATTAACATATTCTAAAAAATAAATTAAAAAGATTAAAATATTTTTAATTAACTTTTTAATTTTCTAATAAAAATTTACAAGGGAATATATTCCCCTAACCATATAATTTATCAAAGTTAAACATATGCTAATATTGTTTTTTTTTTCTTTTAAAAAAAGAAAGTTATCATTTGATAGAAGATAACTTATTCAATGTCATAACTATCTTTATAATTTATTTTTTTTTTAAAGAAAAGAAGTTTACTGAACGCTTGTGGACGAAAGAATTTCTTTAAACCATCTATATCGTTCGTTCTATTTTCGCCTTTATGATTGGATAAAGCCTCGTATAAAAACTTCATAATTACTTCCTTGAGCGTTTTAGCAAATTTTAAGACACTAATTCTAACACTTAAAATCACTCTATCCGTATAAATGGTATAAATTATAAGGATCAAATTTTCAGTTGGAATTAAATTTTAGTGTCCGAAGATTAATACTATCAAGTCTACCATTTAAAATCATAGAAATTAAAACTAATTTGTCTTAAATTTACAATTTAACCGTAAATAAATATAAAATCATAAGAATTAAATTTTAACTATCTTAAACTAGAGGGATCTCGAAATCGAACTTACAATTTGACTGTAAAACCATAAAAATTAATTTTTAACCATCTTTCAATATGTAATATAAATAGGGATTAAATTTATAATTTAATCGAAAGGGAACACAAATAGGCAAAGTTGTGGAGGGTCCAAGTGTATTGAATGGTATGAATAAAGCATGTCCCCTCTTGCATTAAATTAGCTTAAAAAAACAAAACAAAGTAGATGCAGCTTGGTGAGAGATGAGATGATGATGATATCAAAAAAATAATTTATAATTTCCTTTATTTCCAACTTTATTTTCATTATTCCCCTCATTCGAAACCGCTACAACCATCTCTCATCAAAATCTGATCTCTCGTATGAATTTTTAATGGTTAAAATGCAGTTCTTAACCTTTCGTTATTGTGTCTATTAAATTCGTAAATTTTCGATTTTGTATCTAACAAGTTATTGACGTATTCGACGTCATTAAAATTCAAAAACTTATTGGATATAAAATCGAAAATTTATCGTTATATTAGACATAAACATGAAAACTCAAGGGCTAAATTCGTAATTTAACAAAATTCCCGAGATTGGAATAATCCAAGAGTTTTATGTAAAAAATGTAACAAATATTTTATTTCTGACCCTGTTTTTCTTTGTTTGAATGGAATTAATAGGACAAATAATTACACAAAGATGTGACATAGTAGAGTTAGGTCAATGAATTCGCCATTCAAGTGGGTGTTATATTATTGTGACCTATTTTAGGACGCCCGTCCCTCCAAAAATAAATAAATAATTTCATTAAATTATGGTATGGAAATACATGGAGAACGGATCGACAATATTTTTAATTTCATAAATACCCATTTAGTTTAATTTATATATTACAAATATTTTAGAAAATTTTAGTATAATGAAAGGATCCATGTCGGTTTACGAAGATAATTTTCACTCTTGAAAACAAGATAAGTAAGTAACGTGATCATATTATAAGAGCAGAAAAAGAATGTCACGATCACCTAAACTATAATCATGAGAGAATAAGAAGGTAGGGCCCACCATAGTCGTATGCAAAACCCGTTCTAGAACTTTTGCAATTCTAGGACTTTGAAACTACATATTTGGCAACCACTTTCTCATACTACTAAGAAAAGTAGTCCATCTTTTATTTTTATTTATTTCTAATTTGGTACTTCAAATTTAACTATTTATACTTTAGTCCTCGAATTTTAGTAAACCTTCAACTTTTTACCATAATCAAAGAATTTCTAATTTTTTCTTTTTATTAATTCATTCTATCTTATTTTATCGCTCTTAAATTTCAAATAATTCATTAATATTAATTGGCTCGTGTTATTCGATACGAAGTATTTCTTTAATTAATTAATTATTTATTTATTTATTTTGAGGAAGATGAAAAATATTATTAATCTGTCAAATCTAAGATACTTGATTAGAAGGTTAGTGGAAGAAGCATTTTCATTTTCTTAAAATTTAATAATTCAAATTTTATATAATTTAATTTAATTTAATTTAATTCGGAGCTTCTTGTTCATTAAGCTTGCTTTGGTGTTGTCTAATCAAGGTACATACATATATATATATCTATCTATCTATATATATATATATATATTAATATATTTAGGTTCCAAAATTAAGCTTATTTTGTATTATTTTTATTTATTAATTTATATAATTATAAATAATAAGCTTATAGTAAAACTTTTTTTTTTTTTTTTTT